AGCCAGCCCCGCCCCCTGGTGGGCTGAGCTGGCCACACACACACACACACACACACACACAAATAAATAAATAAAAAAAAAAAAAAAAAAAGAAACTAGTTCATAGCTAGCCTAAGCTAAACTATGAGATTTTATCTCAAATAAGACTTTCGGGGGGCAGGGAGATGGCTCAGTAGAATAGGCATTTCCCTGGCAAGCGCAAGGGCCTGAGTTCAATCCTCAGTTCCGCCCCCCCCAAAAAAGACTTTCATCCCAATCTAGGGTACTTGAATACTAATTGAGAAAGAATGGATAATTAATAAAAGCATCATGATATGTCATGAAATTTACATCTAGTTTTACCAACAGGGATTTTTTTCTTCCTCTCTCTTTCTTGCAGTACCAGGGATTGAACTCAGGACCCTGCACTTGCCAGGCAAGCTCTTATGCTACTGAGTTATCTATCTGGGCCCCTCAACAAGAACTTTTAGTGAGAAACTTCATGTGAAACAAAATAGAAAGTGAAATAGAGAATGGAAGAAGGAAAAAAAATATAAGCATACTTTTGATATAAGGAAACCTAGAGACTTCTAAAGCAAAGTGATGAATTAGAATATTGTGAAAAGAAAAAACAAGCCACACCTATAATCACAGGTCTCTGGGATACCGAGGCGGGACAAGCACAAGGATGAGCTTAGGTGGGCCGAGTTAGGGTGAGCTCATGAGTGAGCTCTAGTTTGAACATTAAACATAATACAAGACCAGACATGTTGAGTCAATGTGTGCCAAGCCATCCACAGTGTTAGGCAAGAGAATTCCAGGCCTGAATTGGCAATGAAGCATGTTGAAAGCCAATCTGAAGTGCACAGTGAAACCCTGACTCACAAAGATAAATAAATGAATAAATAATTAATTAAAATATACTGAAAAGTATCATAATGCAAATATCCTAGGTCCAAATCCAATTACAACAAATGTAGCCATTAGAAATGTTTGGTGACACATGCTTGTAATCACAGCACTTCGAGGATGAGTATGATGATCACCAGAAGTTGGAGCCATCTTTGAGGTTCATGAGTTCAAGGCCTGCCTAACTCTTAGTTGGCTCCATTTAAAAGAAGAAACCACATCTTGTACAGCAGTTAACCACTAGGAAGAATGTATGCAATGTGTTAATTATTGAAACTGCACTACCAATTTGGTTTGAAACTGTCTCATTGCTATTTGTTTCTCAATAAAATTATGGAAAAAAAGAAGAAACCAAAACAGTAAACTAGAAAAAGATTAAGTTAAATTAGCTTCTGATAGTAAGGTTGATGGAGGATGCTCATAATCACAGGGTTTGAAAGCCTGAGAGACATTGTTCTAAGTTTGAGATCTTTTGGGCAACAGAGTGAATTACAAGCCAGCCTGAAGTACATAGTGAGATCTCTTAAACACTGTAAAAGTAAATATTGTATAAACTTTACTGCAGAAATCAAACTACTTTACAAGACTGAAATTCTGAATTTTAAGGCATAATTGAATCTTTTTGTCTACTCATTTGTATCTACATGGAAAGGAACATGGATGGCATCATGGGATGCAGGTCACTGGGGAGCCTGGCTGAGGACACTTGGGGCACCTGGCTTGGGTGCATGGAGATGCACGAGGGCTGGAGTGGTCCGCTGGGTCCTCATCTCCCAGGCGTCCAGGCAGCAACCCTGTATCCAGGACCCTGGATTGCTCCTCCATGCCTTTTATTGTCTCCTGATTCTGTGTCTTTTTCAGATAGTGCTTTCCAGTCATTGCTGATTTTGAGCCTCGACCCAGGTAATCCTGACTGCTTCTCAGATTACTCTATCTTAACAGAGAAATAGGATGAAAAGTCCCTTTTGAAAGTTAAGCTGTAAGAAGGGATTGGAAAAGCTGTACTCATTCGATGATGAACTGTACACAATTGTAGAGATTCCCTCACATGTGACCATAACAGATCTGGGTGTGTTATCCACTCCTGACCCTGGCAGAAAAATAACAAACCTTGGAGGATGTTAGGGATTAAGGGGTCTTTGGTTACATAAACATTTTCTAAATTTTCAAGATTAACTGCTGTGTGAAATCAGCAATGTCATCCACAGGGAAGCACAGCAGTGATCCCATATGGTGATACCTGAGGTGCATGATTCCGGCTCTCAGGTCATGTGCCCTCTCAGGGTGTAGAGAGATCTCCTAGGGTCACTAATACTTAGGTGAAGTTCAGGATCTCTGGCACCTACCTGTGATCAACTCACTCCTAGAAGAAGAAGCACATGGAGTGTGGCGAGGAGCCCAGATTGGAACTCTTCTCAATTTAAGGAGACCCTGCCTTGAAATTTAAAACTAAGGGCTAAATTTAAAATGAGATAGTCTAGCAGACTAAATGCCTCATTGGGTTAGCTCA